GATCGATGACCTGATGCAACGAGAATGGTCGTATGAAGATCTTCTACAAGTAATATACGCATACACGTTCTCAATAAGGTTCAAATACTTCAATTTGCGTCATTCACTCGATTATGACTAAAACGAAACATTTTTGACAATTGTATTTGTTCTCAGAATCGATTTCGGATGCAACACGAACAAATCATAAGATTAATGAAACTCCATGCATAGCAGATAACAAGCTGTGCACTGAAAACCTATTAGCCCTGAGGTACTTAATAAAAGTATGAGAATCTCAGGTCAAGATCATGCTGACTGTTGGTCAAAGTTGAGCATGAACCTGACGAGGTTCAATTTGTGTTTAAACGACGTTTCAATCGCGTGCATTCACATGATTGAGCAATGCTTATTGACCTAATCGGATCAAACGCAGTAAATATTTTGCGAGTGCTCGTTCGTTGGTTGAATTGTGAGGCATTAGCAAAATGAGATAACAATTATTTGCGCAGATAGATTTTGTTTCGATTAGTTGAAAATAAACCGGAATTATTTATGGTGTTTGAAAGGCTTTTAGAATTTGTTCAATGAAGCAAAGCATTCGTATTTAGAACACAACAATAATACAAATTCATCGGACCAGCAAACAAAACTAATAAAGTCGATCGGAACAATGAACGGAACACAATGCGCACAACCAGGATCAGCAGATTGCAGCTTTGAACGAGAAAAATTAATTAAAACGTACAATCATATACCCAAATGGTAGCAGTGACACCAACTCATGAGAACGATTGCAAACGGAAATGGTTTGTGATAGATGTGAAGGATACTGGATAGAAGGAGACTTTGGTATTTTTAGCAATCATCGCAACAACTTTCTCATAATATTTATCAATAGAACTGTTTACTCTTCTCAGCAACAAGTACTGTGCAGATTTACGACGGAGACAAACATGGAGAAATCGACGAAATAAGCGAGAATTTTCCTTCTCGATTTAATAATCTAACAAAAGAATATAATATCTTGAATAGGACAGGTCATTTTCGTTGGCGAGAAGACAGAAAGAAGTGTTCACGTCCTTTGAAAGTAACACCAATTCGTGAGAATAATTGAGAACGGAAAACGTTTGTAATCGTATCACATTGGACTGTGCACTTTTCCAGTATATTTGCGATCGTAAATTTGACAAATATCTTTCATTACAATGTTGAACGGTTTTCAAATCATCGAACATCAATCTTTTCACAGGATGGCATTGAAACATAGGAGAGCACGAAGTAATGTGATATGATAATAACAGAGAGGCATAAACTCAAATTGAGTGGTAAATGCTGATCAGATAAATAAATAAATACGACAATTATAGTGCTTAGCGATCGTTACAAACCAGAAATTCCATAACATCAAAACAAGTTTTGCGTATTCCACAAATCGCCTTCCAACGAACACAAATCGCCAGTGGAAACAATAAATCAACCTCAAGCAACAACAACGAAACACATTGTAACTAAGTGTGGACATGATCGTGTTATTGCTGTGCTATACATACAAAATGTAAGGAGGAGGACCACTTGAATTGGATAATTAAAGAGCAATTGCAGCAAATTGTTTGAGCGACGATACAGCTGCTTCCCTTTGGACGGAAAGCAATTGCAATTCAAATGTGTTTTTCACACTTCTCNTTTTTTTTTCAGAATGTGTAATAAATAGATATGAGTAAAGCGAGAAAATGGCAATGCAATGACAACATACGTTAAGTCATCGCTGCAGCTCCTTTCAATCTCGATAATTTATAGCGATTCGTTCATACATCTTTCCCATTTTGAAATCTCGAAATTTTTTCTAGAATTGCAATTTTTTCGACACAACAAATTTGTGTGCATAAAATCAGACTGCTCGATGAATAGCATGTAACTACTCACTGATTAGCATGAATAACAGTAATTACCATTCCACATGTGTAACAAAAAAAGGTGGATCGAATGAGTACTTATAAAGAAATGGATCGCAGAAAGCGAGTATTGCATGAGAGTGGCTAATTTTTGGTGTTCTAAATTAGGAATCTGAAGAACGTAAGCAGTTGCCAGGCAACATGATACGTCACGAACGCTTAACAAATGCATCATTGTCGTGGAAGCATCATTAATCACCGTTTCATATGGGACTCAGATCAATGAATTTGAATAGCTTCCTGATTAGTATTCTTTATTTATGGCCGTATAACAAAAGGTGGCCGGAAAATGTGTTTGAATAGATCTTTCTTTGTGAATCGANATTGAGCTCCACTAACACTATGAATAGATACGAAAGTATCTGTGGACCATGACAAAGCTATAATGCATCAATCCCACGTGCATAACTAATTCGTCGAAGAATGACCAGAAGTGACCATATTCGATTAGCTAAATTGAAAATTCGATTTAAACATCGTAAATAATTTAAACTGATCATCATAATATTTCATCATGAATAAGATGAACATCGCGCAACTTCGAACATTCAATTTAGTATGGATGTTTGCATATGTGACGGCGAGAAGTAACTAACGCTTATGCATCTATAACCAAATAAGCAGTGATAAATCCTCAGTTGCTTCACGTCGTCTCATCATGCTCATTAAAAATGTTACGCATACAAAATGAGATTTCAAACTAGATTTCACTCAAAAAATCGATACGCAAGATTGCGGATAAAGATTACTAATAGTTTTCGTATATCCTTCACATCCGCTTATATTCTTTCGTTTAGTCAAATATATGCATACATGCGAGTATGAACTGCTACCTCTCACTACAAAAAAGAATGACATTAAACCATGCTGATCGTGGGAGGACGAATGGGGAACCAACGGATTACACAAACGAATTAGGATCACGAACGAATGAAGCGGAAAGTAATCAGATAAAACTGAATAAGGAAACAGCTATGAAGCAGTAAGATGGATCCCACATTCATAAGATGAACACATTTTATATGGGCATGAAGATGACCATAAATGTATTAAACACGCGAATATCTTCCATAGCGATGAACCTCAGCTGCAAGCGACAGCTTTCAAATGACATTAAGACTCATAATCTTCTTGTGCTCCGTAATCTTTATGAATAGTTGGTTACTTGGACGGTATAAAGTGCCCATATTCGGCATGTGTCATTAACGATCGAATGAATCTCTCATTGTCCAGCTTCCGATAAGTTTAGTCGAGCCGACTCTAATTGTTCGTTCACATGTTGGGTACTTGCATACTCAATCCTCATTCAATGGTCGAAGATCAACTTTGACGATTGTGTCAATCGAAGGGATGCATGCGTCTAGTTGAGATGGATGAATAATTATATGCATATACGCATAATAGAATTAAGTCAAAGTTGACTGACTAACCTCTTTTTGATGCTCTGAGAGGATAAAGTAATTGCGATACTGAACAAGAAGTGTGTTCTATGAACCAGTTAAACTATCAACTAACTCAGTGGCTTTCACAGGGGAAAATCCCTTCTCGTCGAGAATTCGACAACGTTTGGGCAGATATAGGAGTTTGGCAAATCATTGTTAATTGATTTCTCACTGTATTTCCTTTATAAATGTTCAATACTGCTTTGACACTGTGTGATTGATCATCATAAAAAAGTGATTCCATTGATAACATCGACGAATTCTTGATAAGAAACTTATCGATCGTTAGACCAATTGTTTGATATTCCTCTCGTTCACCACCAATATGGAATGGATTGTTAAAGATGCGAAGGCATTGTTGAGTTCAGTGGATCATGTGAGAGAGGGATGGCATTCTGCTATAAAGCCAAATTAGGACACGAATTGAGAAAGCATAAGAACCACTGCAATTACTGA